ATATATAGAAGAGTTGTTACATTCTTGTACAGCCACTAGTACGCGTAGCGTTTCGGGCAAGTCCTTAATCCTATGGTCCCTGGAATACGATCCCCTGCCGCGAAGAATCGTTTTTTCATCCAAGTACACATTTTACTGTTGCGTTAAACAGAGGCTACAGTTAAGGAATTGCGCCCAGTAAATCCTCCCCGGCCAGGATACGAACCCATGACATAGCGCTCGCGGAACACCAGGCGAGTGTCTTACCACTACACCACGGAGACTGCAAATTGAAACAAGCAACACTTAGTGGGCCAGCCAGAGGCTTAGGACCCGCGCTGGAATATCTCTGTAAAAAAGAAAAATGTTTCCTGTCAGCCTGCCAACACTTTTTTATTTTATTTTATTAACAAGCTTAGGTATGCGCAGAAATGTGCTGCTACCCTATTCTATATGAGATTACACAGTGTAATAACAAAAACTAGCTATAATTTCATCCAATATTCCCATCTCAGAGAATGGTTAGACATACATGGAATCAGGGGAGAAAATGCCAGCCTCAATACAAAAACAAATCAACTGATTAAAAATCAGGAAAGAACATGAAATATAAGACTGGTCTATTAGCCTCCACTAGCAAAATCTGAGTACAGTACAAGAATATCTTCCAATATTCGTGAGTGTGTGAAGTAATTACAGAGCTCAAAGTACCTCATACCATTTGGTCTGAAGTCACTGATAACAGGGCAATCACAGATATAGTGTTGGAGAATATGTCCCAGCTCTTGTTCACATAGTTTACAATTGGAATGTTCACCACGGTAATATTCTGGTTTAGGAAATGGGTAATCTGTGATGTGGGGGGGGGGAGGGGGTAGAAATAGCCTAAGCTACTCTATCCCTTTGGGATGTATTTTTCTTTTCTCAATAAATATATTTGAACTTGAATTTTAACCCGTAATGAGAGGGATGTTTTTAACACATATTGGTCCTTTCATCTTCTGTTGTCAATATCAGTTATCCTTCCATGATGTGCAAGAAGCCTAAAGGAAACTTGCTTGTCAATAAAAAGCGAGAATGACGCGGCAGTGAGGCATATTTGCCAAATGTAAAACTATTGCATGGCCAAATATTTTCACCTTCATTTTTGTACCGCCACATCAAACCAAACTCTGCATGCTACCTATGGGTCATACTTTCATCTGCACGTGTAAATTATCTTGCATACAAATCATATTATGGTTTTAAGTACAAGAATGATTATTGTTTGGTTATTAGAAGCCTAATAAGTTAGCTAGAAAACAGAGAAAGATAACAAAATTCTGTACCTTTGAAACCTCTCGTATAATCAGAGATTAGGATTTTTTTTTTTTTTACCACGACCTTCTTCAACTTTAGTTTTATAACTCGCATATAATATAACATTTTTAATAACATAAGTCGATATAATAACATCGAAGTATTTCAACAACCTCCTCCATTTCTTCAAAATTACGGAGCATGCCTCGTACACAATATATAATTTCTCTGCATCGTAACACAGAAGTCGTGAAGCAGGACATTTGTGGTTCTTGAGTTTTTGGTTTCCCAAACGAGCCTCTCGCCTATTTTAGAAAGTTGAGCGTGAATTAACCACAGAACTCCCAGCAAACGATCTCTGAGCCTAATGGGAAGAAGATATTTATGGCGAACAGCCCGTTCTCTTAAACACTAATTAAATTATTAATTATAATTAAACGCATGTTAATCCAGCCGCCAAACCACCAACCCGTCCCCGACTCAAGTCCATTACATCCAGCGGTCGACCCCACAGGCGCATTCTTAAATTTTTACATGCTGTTCATTCAAAGCGGGAATTTTCTCAAATATAAATTAATACTATAATATATTAGCATATTTTGCATATATAGGCATAGGTCAGGTGTTTAGGTTCTGTTGGCGATTATTAGTATTTGTAGTACGTGGGGTGAAGCATTTATAGCGTTGTGATTCGAACAAAATTCGTCAGTGAAGCACTTGTTCCGGATATGTTCGAATGTCAGCAGTTGTGAGTCGTGTGTAAACCGCTTTTCATTCATAAACAGGGGGGTTGGCGGGTGCATGGAATCACTTTTGGATCTTTGTTTGGAGGACGGGCTGTTTATAGCGTTATACTTCGAAGAAAATTCGTCAGTGAAACACTTGTTCCGGAAGTGTTCGAACGTCAACAGTTGTGAGTCGTGTGTAAACCGTTTTTCATTCATAAACAGAGGGTTTGGCGGGTGGATGGAATGAACTTCGCCCATTGTTTATGAGGACGGGCCGAGTGATGATGATTGAACTTTTTTCAACAATGCTTCGTTTACTTTCTCTGTTCCAATCGCAACTCTAAATGTTTCACCCGTGTACTCAAAATACAAATAATTGCCAAAAGAAATTGAACCAATTTCAATTTGGTTCCCAAATTGAATCTAACCCAATCTAACCTAATCTAGTCCTAACTAAACATCAAATTCTATCCCATGTTGGAATCCCATCATATGATAAAGCCGATGAAACTGCTAAATTGGCAACTCGTCATCCAGTAATCCACAAAACAATCCAACCCAGCCTAGAGTACATAAAATACATCACCAAAAAAAGCTTGCACACCTCAACAAAACCAATTTACAACAGAGTAGCAGAAGGTTCGCCCTCTACAATATGGTATCTTCAGATAGATGTTAATCTTCTTGTTTGAGGAGCTGTTCACTTGAGACAGTTAAGCAAGTCCCAGCTGTGTCTGGGTACAAGTGACAGGATGAACAACCCAGCGGGTTTTCTTCCTATTGGGGAGTGTTGTACATGCTGCTATGGCGGTGTGTCCACTCAAGATGAGTGGCGCTGCCCAATACTGTCACTATGGCGGTGTGTCCACTCACAGGATGAGTGGCGCTGCCCAATAAACTCGCCCCTTGGGGCAAAATTTAAAAAAATTCAGATCACCAAGTTAGACAGATTAAATATCCCGAATGGAATCCACCGGGAAATAGCAGTTCGGTTATATAGACTACGTCTAGGTTACAGATGCAACTGGGGAACCCAGAGAGTGGGAATGCATTTTCTGCCAAATAATCACAAAGAAGCTACTACTTCACTATCTCCTGGAATGTGAAGTAACCAATGACCAAGAAGAGCTTTAAGAGTCCCTGAATCTTGCAGTAACCACCCTGAAGCCATCAACACTGCCATTCTTCTGGTCAAAAAAGATGTCCAGCAGCTGGAAGAGCAGCTTGGAGACGGGCTATGAGGTATTCAAACTAATATTTGCTGAACCTAATTAGCTAGGTCTATGTTAACGAAAACTGATGACCATCGAGACCAAGGCTTGTAGAATGATAGCGTCATATGAGGGCGATATTATATATGTCTTTGTGTAGACTGGACCCTTATATGCTTCCATTCATCTTGTTTTGGTATGCCAGATGGACCCCTTAATATTACGTTATATTTGATAAATTCCATTATATTTGTCAAATCTCGGTTTTAACAAATATAAAAATTGTGTTCAGAAATTATTTGTTGTATTGTGACTAAGTTCCAACTTCTATGTTTTATTTTTCTATTGATAAATTGAACGATAAGTTTGTGTCATTCACAACATCCTCGGGCTCTGAATATGCCGCGTATAAGAGATCCTAATTGGACAAATTTCACAAATTCGAAAAAACACAAATTACAAAGTGATCCTACAGATTATACTGCTGTACCGTCCATCAGAACTGGAGAGGGTCAATCCAGCAATGGACATTGACGTTGTTTTATATATTTATTGTTTAATCAAGGTGAATATTTATTTTAGCAGAAAATAATATTGTAATTAGGCTTTCTACAAGGAGTTATGATTTTGAGAATTCCGCCGTTGAACCCGTGGGAATGAAAAGTAGAGAACACAGTACATATTGCCAGGCAGGTGATTGGGGTGTTTGGGGTGGCTATGGTTGTGGGGGGGTGGCTATGGTTGAAGGGTGGCTATCTTGTGGGGTGACTATGGTTTATGCCTGTGGGGGATGGCCATGCCTGTGGGGGGTGGCCATGCCTGTGGGGAGTGGCTATGTTTGTGAGGCTGACTATGCCTGTGGGGGTGGCTATGTTTGTGAGGCTGACTATGCCTGTGGGGGGTGACTATGCCTGTGGGGTGGCTATGCCTGTGGGGGTGGCTATGCCTGTGGGGGTGCCTATGCCTGTGGGGCTGACTATGCTTGTGGGGGGTGGCTATGCCTGTGGGGCTGACTATGCTTGTGAGGGGTGGCTATACCTGTGGAGGTGGCTATGCTTGTGGGGGTGGCTATGCCTGTGGGGGGTGGCTATGCTTGTGGGGGTGGCTATGGTTTATGCCTGTGGGGTGGCTATGCTTTTGGGGGTGGCTATGCCTGTGGAGGTGGCTATGCCTGTGGAGGTGGCTATGCCTGTGGAGGTGGCTATGCCTGAGGGGGGTGGCTAAGCTTGTGGGGGTGGCTAAGCTTGTGGAGGTGGCTGTGCCTGTGTGGTGGCTATGCCTGTAGGGGTGGCTAAGCTTGTGGGGGTGGCTAAGCTTGTGGAGGTGGCTGTGCCTGTGTGGTGGCTATGCCTGAGGGGGGTGGCTAAGCTTGTGGGGGTGGCTAAGCTTGTGGAGGTGGCTGTGCCTGTGTGGTGGCTATGCCTGTGGGGGGTGGCTAAGCTTGTGGGGGTGGCTAAGCTTGTGGAGGTGGCTATGCCTGTGTGGTGGCTAAGCTTGTAGGGGTGGCTATGCCTGTGGAGGTGGCTATGTCTGAGGGGGGTGGCTAAGCTTGTGGGGGTGGCTAAGCTTGTGGAGGTGGCTGTGCCTGTGTGGTGGCTATGCCTGTAGGGGTGGCTAAACTTGTGGGGGTGGCCATGGTTTATACCTGTGGGGTGACTATGCTTGTAGGGGTGGCTATGGTTTATGCCTGTGACGTGGCTATGCCTGTGGGGGGTGGCTGTGGGCCACGAGGGGAAGGTAGAGGAGTGGAGGGCGAGGTGCTCCGAGGAGGACACCAGTATACCTGAGGGTGGACGGGCGGCAGGAGGGCGGACGCAGTGCGCTTGGTGTTAGAGGCTGAAGAAGGAGCTACCCCCAGGTCTGAGAGAGTCATCGTCGGCCCGCTGGCCCACCTCACCACACACACATGGCCAGGTCACCAGCACGCCCCTCGCCACGACCAGTGGCAGCACCAGGATCACCAGGAGCCCCCTCACATACCGCAGCGCCACGAACCAACACACCACAGCACTTGTCTATTGATCACTGGGGCCCGGCCCGCCACGCCAGCCCCTGTCGCCTTGTGGCAACCTAACCCAGCTGGGCACCACTTGCGCACACTGCCCCCCTACCACCACCCCAGGATGGTGAACACCACCCCACCACCACCCCAGGATGGTGAACACCACCCCCAGGATGGTGAACACTACCCCCAGGCTGGTGAACACACTCCCCCAGGCTGGTGAACACTCTCACCCAGGCTGGTGAACACACTCCCCCAGGCTGGTGAACACTCTCCCCCAGGCTAGTGAACACACTCCCCCAGGCTGGTGAACACACTCCCCCAGGCTGGTGAACACACTCCCCCAGGCTGGTGAACACTCTCCCCCAGGCTGGTGAACACACTCCCCCAGGCTGGTGAACACTCTCCCCCAGGCTGGTGAACACACTCCCCCAGGCTGGTGAACACACTCCCCCAGGCTGGTGAACACACTCCCCCAGGCTGGTGAACACACTCCCCCAGGCTGGTGAACACTCTCCCCCAGGCTGGTGAACACACTCCCCCAGGCTGATGTCTGTTACCTGATGGCTCTATTCACCTAGAAGTTTAAATAGATACCTGGGAGTTAGACAGCTGCTGTGGGGTGCATCTCGGGAATGTGTATTCACCTAGTTGTAGTTGCAGGGGGGCGGGGGTAAGGAATCAATCTTCAGATCTTTGGTTCCGCCTCTCAACTGTCAATGTACTGGTATGGAAATTTCTGAGCCTACTGGGCTCTATCATATCTACATTTAAAGGTGTGTGTAAAGAGTCTACCTCCACTACCTCGCTTCTTAATGCATTCCATTTGTTAACTGAATAACACAAAAAAATCCTTCTAACGTCTCTGCTGCTCATTTGCATACTAAGTTTCTATCTATCTTCCCTGTACGTTCTTATGAGAATTTTCAAGTGGCAATTATGTTTCCCTTAAGACTTCTGTCTTCAAGTGACGTGAGGTTTAATTCATGTAGCCTTTCCTTGTAATTCATACCTCTCAGCTCCTCAACTAGTCTGGTGGCATATCTCTTCAACCTGTCCTCGGAACTTTTCGAACTTCGTCTTGCATACTCTAGGATTGGTCTGAACTAACTCCACACCTGTCAAATAATACCAGATCCTTGCGCGTCATTAATAATCTATTGCAGATTATAGGTCAAAATCTAATCTCCTTAGAGAGGCGCAGAGCAGTAAATACTAATACAAAGTTAAATACAAAGTTAAGGGAGAAGGTGGTGGAGGCCAAAACCGTCAGTAATTTCAAAACATTATATGACAAAGAGTGCTGGGGAGACGGGACATCACGAGCGTAGCTCTCATCCTGTAACTACACTTAGGTAATTACTAATGACTAACCGAGAAAGGTAGAACAGAGAGCAGCAAGACGGAAATAAAGAGAGCAGAAACGAGACACCCAGCAGTTAGGTCGTCTCATGGCCCCAACACCGGAGCGTCTGGCTCAGGTGGAGTACCCACTAAGTCATTATTCTGGTGTCACCCTTGAAAGTGCTCCATCTGTCGTCTTGCCCTTCTTGTCCGTTTTTCCAGATAAGCTCTGGGCCAGAACTTCTAGCCATCGAACAAATCCACAAGGGCCGTGACGAGGATTCGAACCTGCGTCCGAGAGCATCCCAGACACTGCCTTAATCGACTGAGCTACGACAGGGTTAAAAAGAGTTGAAACCGAAGTTCTACTGAACTTAATGGATCCCGTAGCCTCTCCGAGGCACAAACCAGGATTTTATACAACTCCCCTCCTGCACCCGAGCTGTCAATAGGCCGTTCTATTGACATAGAACGGCAATCCCTCTTCGCCCTTACATCATTACACACAGAGATCACACTAACGTGATGCATCAAATGAACAAATCCACGGCCCTTGTGGATTTGTTCATTTGATGCATCACGTTAGTGTGATTTCTGTGTGTAACTTGTAGCCATCGTTTGGACCCTGCATGTCCCGGGAGGACCATTTGCTTGTGTATTATTCTACCTTTAGTATTTTCTTAAGTCACTTGCAGGATTCTGCATAACTGTTTGCCACTCGTTGCATGAGCTTAGGGAGGCCTTACCTAGGTGTTCGTTGGGGTTGTCTCTGCCCTGATAGGGTTGCCTTCCATTGTGAGTTCCAGAGTTCGTCCCAGTGTGCCGGCCTCCTGTGGGGGGTGCCTCACCCTGGGTAGTGCATGAGTCTTTAAATTTACATGAATTTACCAGAGGGCCACTATATAGTGGGACATCAATGGGGACAGGAAGCCACAGTGTTTTGGTATTTACGGCTTCGGCGGGTAGGCGGTTCCAAGGATTTATAACCCTATGGGCAGAAAAACCTCTCCTGTTTTCCGTCCTGCATTGTGGCTTGTTGACCTTGAAACTGTTGCTCCTTATCCGTGTTACAATCTGACCTTTTAAAGAAATGGTCTGGATCAATATCCTCCAAATTATTCAATATTATGTTTATTTACAAATTAGGTACAATGGGTTTGTGAGATTACATAATATTAGTATTTTTACATTCTTGCAAAGCCACTAACACCCATAGCATTTCAAGCAGATGTTTAGATGAGGTCAGGCCTGTCGTGTTTGGCATGCAAATGTCATTATCCCTGTGGCCCTCAGTCATTCCTGTATGAAGTCGACACAGTTCTGGAATGACTTTTTGTTGGCCAGTGTTAAACAGTCTCCAAAGCAGTTATGCCTTTCTGAAGATGGTCTCCATGCTTGGATACAATTGTTACAATTTTGAACACTCATACTCAAAGTAGTGGCGTGGCAAAGATTTCTACAGTTGTATAACTACTTTATTTTCCTTGAAGTCAAAGTTTCATTTGACTATTTCAAGGATCATTATTTTTTTTTACTGTAGCTCCCAGTTGTTGTGCAACTTTCGGTGATTGGTGGATTCTGACTCCAAGGTCTTTTTCTTCATCAATCTGCTGCATGGTAATGTAGTAAATTTGGTAGTTGTGATGCGCATTGTTATGCTCGAAATGCAAGGTCTTGCAACTTCGATATTGAAAAGCATTTGCCAATCTTCCGACCACTTGTGGAGGTTATGTAGATTTCTTAATAAGGCCTACATATCACTTCCTACTTTACCATAAATCTTAAGTTTTATCTGCAAATTTGATGTAGTTTGTAATATTCTCATGTCATTGATGTAAATGACAAAAAGGGTTGGCCCCAAACTGGAACCTTGCAGTACCACACTCATGACATTTCTCCACTCAGATTTATTTCTATTTAGGGCGATCATTTGCTTTCTTAAAGAAGCGTGTTGCTCTCCAGGAGCAGCAAGCACTGGGTTGGTTCAACTAACAATTGATGGGGTTTCAATGCATGCCATATATACATATACGAAAGCCACGGACAGCTGGACAGCTTTGTTCTTGATTTTTCCCAGTAGGCCATGTTGGATACCTGAAGTCACCCAACAAAGCCTGCTGGCTTAAACACAGTACCAAAGCCAAACCCCCTACAAAATAATGGGATCAAACCTAAAGCTAAAAATTTAGACTTTTTTTAACAAATTAAAAATTGACAATACATTACATGCATTACTTTAATTTTCATGTAATACTATTCTTAAGCATTGAAATACATCCTATATTTTGCACAAGATACTCTATGAAAATTATAACCTCAGAATTTTTTTTGTAATGCTAGGGAACACATTCCTGTGCAAAACTGGGGATCGATAGTAAATGTAATATTGGTACTGGTACTGCCCAAAATGCTGCCCATACTAGTGGCTTTACAAGAATGTAATTACTATGCTATGTATCCTCACAATCCCAATGTACCTTCTTGTATATATATATATATATATATATATATATATATATATATATATATATATATATATATATATATATATATAAATAAATAAATAATTTAAAATTTTCTGCACAAAATAAAATGTACCCAAATATACACAAGTACGAAAGTTTTAAATAATTTATCAAAGCTTTACAAATATCGGATTCTTACCAATATTGTGTGGGTTCATCTGATTCCAATACATGATATAAAGAGATCTAATTTAACCACATAAGAAACAATGCTCTCATGACTAGAACACAAGGTCTCTCTAAATAAAAGACATATGAGTATTGAAACATACTATTTCCCAAAAGTGTTACATTCACCCACTCGCGCTACAAAACATAACTGCAGAGAAAGGTCAATTAAGTCATTCTAGATGTGGCCTTCAATTATATGACAATTATACAAAAAAAGGTGTCATTTCATGACTAAGGAAAGAATCTTAATATATTCACTTAAGACTACATATTTGTGAAGTCTAGATTTACCAACAATAAACTTGAGTATGGCCAATGACTTTTAAAACGTGAAAAATTCTTGTGAAAAAATATTTAAGTGAAATTCAATTGCCATATAACTGATTTTCAAGAAAGTAATTTCTGATTAAATTTTTTTGTAAATAAGTAGGGTAGTAAGGATCAATAACAAACACCTCGGTATCAAATAAACTAACAAAAACACTCGACAAATTACATTGTAACAATGGGAATAATTCCAAACGTCAGGTATACTGTACGTGAAGTATGTGTCTCCACCCCAAGCCAGGTGTATTACTGTACCAGCCGTGGGAGGACGGATGATCATCTTACAACACGATGAAGCTAGCACCTTGTTTACAACCAGTTGGCTCTTATTACAAAAATGACTTGGATTATTAAGATATGACGACAACTGAAGGCCATAATCTTATCACAGTGTTACATTTGTAAATTTCAATACTTGAAGCATATAATATTCGTAAATAACCCAGTCCACACATATGAAGAAAAGACAAAACAATGTGGTCCATCTTGGACCTTTATAAATTCACGACCTGATGAGCGTCCAGGGCTGACTGAAACGTTGTCATTTTAATTTCTTGTCACGTATGGGTTGGGCTATTTGTACAGTCACATTATTGTGACTTATTCAGTACATATAATATTTAGTATTGTATGAAAGGTATTATGGCCATGTTCTACCTTGCTCTACCTGAAATTTGTTAAAACAGTTCTTCTAGAGATTACAT